TAGTGAGATCATTGGTGATAATAATGTCATTTTTTTATATTGTATAATAAATGTGGAAGTTGTGCATAATTCACTGAAATCAATCCATGTAACCTTGTAACAATGATGTTGCAAAATAAGGTATGTGTAAAAAAATTCATTCAAAGTTCAAGATATAAAGTAATGTATTTTAATGAAACAGAATATGAAAAGTTCACTGATAGAGTTTCAGATTCCACAGTTTCAGATTTCACACTGCAACTAACCACTTAAGAAAATACCACTTGTGGAGCTTTGGTATAGTATCAGAGAAGAATATCCAAAATTATCTGAAAGAGCTACAAAATACTCTCTCCCCTTTTCCAATTATATATTTGTGTGATGCTAGATTTTCTTGACATACTTTAATCACAATAGCATATTGCAACAAACTCAGTGCAGAAGCAGGTATGAGAATCCAGCTGTTTTCTATTAAACTAGATATTAAAGAGATTTGCAAAAAATGTAAACCAATACCACTCTGAGCATTCCTGGTGTCCAGACCTCAGTTTCAAATACTATTGTGGGCCAGGAATGGTGGCTCATGCTTGTAATCCTAGCACTTTGGGAGGCCCAGGTGGGACAATTGCTTGAGGTCAGGAGTTCAAGACCAGACTGAGCAACACAGTGGAAATCCCATCTCTACAAAAAATACAAAAAGTATCCAGACATGGTGGCATATGCCTGTAGCCCCAGCTACTCAGAGGCTGAGGCAGGAGGATTGCTTGAGCCCAGCAATTTGAGATTGCAGTGAGCTACTATGACATCACTGCCATCACTGCACTCTAGCCTGGGCAACAGAATGAGACCCTATCTCAAACAAACAAATAAACAACAACAACAAAAAAACTATTCTGAAAGGAGCCAGGGTTCTTTGGACAAAATGATTTCTAGGACTGGGGCAGGAAATATGCTATAAGCCTGGTGTATCTTGCAGTATCAAAAGGAAGAAAGTACTTAAAAACAAACAAGAACCCATGAAAATGGGATTATGTGAAAGAGATACAGGTACTAACAGGAGAAAGACTTCCCAATGGCCAAAGCTGCAACAATTTAAGCAAAAATAAATGAATAAATTAGTACTGGATTATATTCTACAGTATAAGATAAATACCCATGGATCCATACTGATATAAATAATGATTGATTAAATAAATACAGGAGGCAAATCTCCCATGCAGAAGAATTACAAATAATTTATGTACTCTATCGTCAAGGAGGGGACACATAATTCCCCACTCTGGAAGTGTAGGCTATACATAGTGACCTCATTCCAGAGTGTCGTAAGGAATGGGAAGGAAAAAGAGAAGTTTAGAGTAAAGAAATCTAACAAACACTATCTCAGCCAAGTGACCAAGATCAACATAAAGGGGCTGTAAGTCATGTTGAGAGTATGCATGTTAGTATGTATCACATGTTGATGTGATGATAATGGCACTTATGAATTCTTTTCTCCCAAAACCCGTAAGCTCAGTCTAATCATGAGAAAAACATCAGACAAATCTAATTGTGGGAAATTCTACAAAATACCTAACCAGTACTTTATCAAAGTCATCAAAAACAAGAAAAGTATAAGAAACTGTCACAACTAAGAGGAGCCTAAGGAGACATGATGACTAAATGTAATGTGCTATCTTGGATGGGATCTTGGAACAGAAAAGGACATTAGGTAAAAACTAGGGAAATCTGTATGAAGAATGTACTTTAATTAATAATAATATATCAATAATGGTTTATTAATTATAACAAATGTACTATAGTAATGTAGGATGTTAATAATAGTGAAAACAGGGTGTGGGTATGTGGAAACTGTACTATCTTCACAATTTTTCTATAAATCTAAAACTTTTCTAAAAAATGAAGTTTATTTTTTAAAAATAACACTTCACTAAACTTTTTTGTCTTCTCATAAAAATATTTTTATGTTCACATATAATGGGTTTATTATTTTTAATGCATAAATACTTAAGATTTTTCTCAAATTTTTAACTTCTAATATGTTAAATACTGATAACCATAACTCACAATAAAGCTTTTTAGAGTCACCAATAATTTGTAAATATGTAAAGGAATCCCAAGGCCAAAAAGTTTGAAAAGTAGATAAGTTTTGCATATATGGAAAAATTGATGCTTGTGGAATCTTAACCTTCAAAAATATAGGATAGTGTAAATACAGGAGTGTAAATACAGATGTTAGTGTAAAGGCATTACACCACATTAACAATATTGTGTACAGAAAAAATGGGGGGAGCAAATCACCCTAATCATTTTAACACTTAAGAAGTTGGAAATAAAGCATTTGTAAACCTGTTATCAAGTAACAAGTTAACACACTACCAAGTATAATTTCCAAACAGCAGACCCACCACTTAATCATCCTTTAAAATTTGTAAAACAAACATTTGATTTGTTAGGAAAAGTATCACTCTTAATAATAGGCTTCCTTTCAATAACAAATTTCCTCCAGAGTACAAAGACAAATTTGGAAAATTCACTGGTTACAAAAATTTTTTAATTATTCCCAATCTCATTAAATATAAGATGTCAGTGATTATAAAGTGCATTATTTCATGTAACACTAGGAAAGGAAAAAAATTACCTATTAAACTATGACATAATGCTTACTTATGGCATCCTGTCTTCCAGGAAAGTAAAATGTGAACAAAATGTGTGTTGGAATCAAGTAAATACTGGAACCTTCAACATGTCATTCAAATATGTTAGAAGATAAGAAGGAAAATTATCTACTAATAAAATAATCTTGGATAATAAGAATCTATCCATATCTACTGCATTATAATGAAGTTAATACTCCAACACAATTCCTAATCTGTTTCAGCTGTCAAGATAAATCAAAGCTTTTAGCAAATATATGTATAACTAATTAATAAAATGAAAAGCACTTCCCAAAACTGGATCTTGAGATTCAAAGCCACTATAATCATATAGTGGTGAAAATAATGAAAACAGTAAAGAGCAATAGTTCACTCAAAAACAGCTGGTCGTTTAACATATGAGAAGGTCACTTCATATGCAAACAAAAGATACAGTGTACTATACTTGCTACACTAACAAAACTGGCTCTACCAGACAACATCCACATTTGAAAAATATTAACTAGAGTAAAAGAAAAATCATGATTAAAACTAAGAGAGGGGAAAGCTATTTACAATTAATTTACATTTTAGGAAATAAAAGTTGAATGCTAACATGGAATCAGTACCTTGGGTTCTTTTTTTCCCTTTCCAAGGAGAATTGGAGGGAGATTCAAGATTCCGTATTAGCACTATAGCAGGTTTTGTCAATCTCACTCAACACAAGATATTTTTAAGTCTCCAAATCCATATAATTCATGCTAAGTACTTTTTTTTTTTTTTGAGACAGGGTCACACTCTGTTATCTGGGCTAGAGTGCAGCAGCATAAGCATAGCTCACTGAAACCTCAAATTCTTGGACTGAAGCGATCTACTTGCCTCAGCCTCCCCAGTAGCAGGGATTACAAGCCCACCCCATAACACCTGGCTAATTTTTTAAAACATTTTTGTAGAGACCGGAGTTTTGTCATTGCCCAGGCTGGTCTTGATCTCCTGCCTCAAGCAATCCTTCTGTCTTGGCCTCCCAAAGCACTAGGATTACAGGTGTGAGCTACTGTACCCAGCCTATGTTTTTATTTTTAGAGGCAGGGTCTCATTCTGTCACCCTAGCTGTAGTGCAGTGGTGTGATCAAGCTCACTGCAGCCTTGAACTCCTGGGCTCAAGCAAGTGAGAAGATTTTCCCACCTCAGCTTCCTAAGTAGCTAGGATTACAGCCTTGCCACCATGCCTGGCTACTTTTTAAATTTTTATGTACAGATGGGGATCTTGCTATGCTGCCCAGCTGGTCTCATGGCCTCAAGATTCTCCCACCTCAGCCTCCCAAAGCACTAGGATTATAAGCCCCAAGGCACTAGGCTTATAGGCATAGCCACGATGCCCTGTCTCATGCTAAGTACTTTAAATACTAAAACATTTACATGCATTTTGGTATCCAAGGGATTTTTTAAATTACTTCCACCTCTTGTGACAGTCTTGTAACAAAGTCTCTTTTGAGAGTGCTGATCCATAAATTTAGGAAAACATCCCACTATATGATGCTTTTCCTCCAAATCTTATCACTTTCAGAATTTTGTTAGAGGCACATCAATTAACCAGAATCCAGATTGCCAGCATCCCTAGCTAGCTAAAAGTTGTATTTTGACACAACTTTTATGAGAAAAAAAGGCAAATCTCCAGAAAACAAGTTGACTTCACGACTCCTCAAAAAGTCCTGGTCCATTTATTCAGCAAAACCCAAGGGCCCAGAACAGGTTCTCAATCAGTGAATCTTTTCTTGGGGGCATGGGGATGAGTTCTGTCCACTGTACACAGTACCTTAGGGACTTTTGTCAAAGTGGCAGTCACCTCATTTGATTATCAAGTTGCCTCCACAGCCCCTTCCCCTCTTCTCATGTAACCCTGTGAGGCTCACAGAGGGGGAAGGAATCCGGCCTTGGGCAGCCCCAGCTCTGCCAAGGTTGGTTTGAGCTCTTTCATATGTTTCACACATCCAGGTTTTCCATTTCAGCCCTAGAGACCCAAGGAGGCAGGTGGCATTGGGCTCATTTAATTGATAAGAAAATTGAAGCTCAGACATAGTTATTTGCCCAAACTTTGAAAAGACTTCTTTCCATTCAATTGTAAAAAAAAAAAAAAAGGAGAATTACAGAAAGTAGAAAAAAAAAATCACTCAAACATTGTCACTGTTCACATCTGGGGGGCCTATGCATATTTAAGAAAGGGTTTCCAAAAGTCAGTGTGAGTACACTTGCTGTATGGGGATATGTATGACTATGTCCTTAGGGCAAGTCCCAGAAGCAGAAGACCTGGATCCTAGTGGCTTTTTCAGAACTATAGATACATTCTACCAAAACAAGTTTCTCACAGTGTCAACCAGTGAATCTTACCTGGAAGATCACCAAGCTGGCTGCAGTGGACAGGTCAGTCTTCCCAAATTTGCTGAGACTTCCAGAAGGGTTAAAGGAATAGTGGAAGGCCTTCCTTTGGCTTAGGGGCTTTTCTCTAAAATTCCTTCTCTTGTCCCCATCTCATCTCTTCCCTCCTCACTCTTTCAGCTTACTGCCAACCACCCTCACCACGGAAATCACAAGACCTCAGGCAAATGAAAAGCAAGTACTCCCGAAAGACCATGAGGCACCTAGCTCACTTTTCAAAATTATTTAAGGTACAACAGCCCATCCAGGCACAAATGACCAATGATGACTAAGGCACAGCATTCTTTTCAATCTCTAAAAAATGATCCAAATGTATCTATCTTCTACTTAATACAACTGAAAAGTATATTAACATATTTTAGAAATATTTTTGCTTCAATTCTTGAAGGTGAAGAGTTTCTTCTATTAACTTAACAAGAACTGAAGCATACTACTTAATAATCAAGACATTACTGTGCCTTTACCTAAAATTCTTCCTCCAGAGTACATATTTAGGATTTGTCTTCTACTCAGAAACTAGCTTCTACATATCCTCCACCATGCCAGAATGCAGACTGACTTAATAACATATGGCCATTTTGAAAGAAAAAAGCTAATCTTCAACCCCCTTAATTAATTACTGCCTTTTACTAGTATTTATGTACAGATCTGTATGTCCTCCAAACAGGGGATGAAGATGGAATGGCTATGTCTTACCACCGCATCCTCCCGGAAGTAGTGGGCATTCAATAAATGCCTATTCAACACTTTGGTCCCCTCATAACAAGTTGGGGCATTCCAAAACACTGACTCCACCCCTCCAAGGTCTGCAGCCGGCTCCCGATCACAGACTGACTGTGGCCTTGCTCAAGTGAAATGAAACCTCGTCGCTAAAGGAGACCCAGGATGGGGGGTAAGGGAGCCATCCGACCCCATACCGCAGGGCAGCAGATCCTCTATTCATCCGCCAGGCTGTGGGTCCCGAGGCCTTTCCCACCCCATTCCGGTAACCTGTGTCGCCAGCCGGAGATCCACAGGGGTACTAGCCCCCGCCCCACCCGGCAGACAGACAGCCTGGCGTCGGGACACCGGGGACGCCTGCGCAGAACAATCCGCCTCCCTCCCACCGCCTGGCCCCTCCGCTCCGAAGGGTAACAATACCCACTCAGAAAGACGGGCAGGGTAGGCGGGGGCCACCAGTACACGTCCGCGCGCTCCCCGGCGTGACCCGGGTGCTCAACCGCCTCCATGCGAGCGCGCCCGCGCGCGCCATCACCACTCTCCCTTAAGGTGTCTCCTCACCTGAGCCGGGCTCCGCCCCCCTCCTCCTCGCTGAAGGAGGCGGTGACCCCTCTCCGATCGGACCGGACAGTGTCGGAGGAGGTGGGAACGTCCAGACTGCCGTCTCCGTGATAGGACTTCCTCCCCCTTCCACCCACCCCCCGCCCACCCCTCCTCTAGTCCCCTAGCTCCTTCAGTCCCTCCGCCGCGGCACTCTAAGAACACGGCGGCGGCTACCGACAAACGGAAGTGACGCGTGCAAGCTTGCATACTGCGCTCCATTCCTCCTCCCCCGATCGGGCGTCAACCAATCAGCAAAGCGGAGGGCGGGGCTGGGGCATGAGTGCAGCCAGCTGGCGCACAGAACCCGGAGGAATTTACTCGGCCCCCAGAAAAACTGACCAATCCAAGGTCCCAGGAGCCTGGTTATGTTTACTACCGACTGACTCCGTGAGCTCTCCGACCAATCAGCATTTGCCTTACAACACGCAAAACTGTTATTAAATGTCTTTTAAGGCGGGATTTATCACTAAACTGCTCTAGGTTTGGACTATAGAAAAGCGACTGTTTGTTACAGCCAATCAAAACCCGCTGTGGTGGAGGCAAGAGGGTTTTCCGCCTAATTCCACCAATCGCAATCACGACTGCCTGAGGTCTGGGCGCGCCCGGTTAGTCCGTCCCGCCATTGGCTGGTCCTGTAGGCATGCCCAACCCTCTCGGCGCCCAGCCCTTCGGTGACCCCGGGCTCCCTGTCTGAAATGGGCTCCCTTCGCTACACCCGTAGACTTGTGGGGTCGGTGGTTGAGTTCCCACCTCGTAGGTGAAAAATATGATAAAGTTCCAAGAAGCTGTTTGGGTTGAATTAAGCCAAAATCCAGACTAAAAATGGTGAATAAAAAACGCAGTCCCTGTGATGGACTTAGGTCGGACCCCGCCCCAGATCCAGTCCGGGTGACGGCGCGTCTGGAAACGCTGGAGCCCGAGGAGTCCGACTAGCGGGCCCAGACTTCCGAGTCTGGCGCTTGGCTCCGCACTCTGTGCCTCAGGTCAAACAAGCCTGCAGTCTCCAGATCCAAGTTCATAATCACCTGCTCCCTCCAAAAAAAGGTGGGGAAGTTTTAAGCTCTCCCAGTCACGTCTCAGACGTGGAAGGGTCGCGGACTTCTGTGAGACGCAGTCAGAAAAGAGCAAGCTCCTGGGTGCACGCGCGGGCGAGGAACCCGAGCCCTGAGGGAGACCGGTCGGCTCGGTCCCGAGAGCACAGGGCACGGGGGCCAGCGAAGAAGCCCTCCTCCCTCGGGCGAAGACGGGAGAAGAAGGCTGCTTTTTCCTGCGAAGCTGTCCGGGAGCTCTGCGTAGCTCCGAAGACAAAGGCAGGCTCGCGGACGCGGCTGGGTTGTTTTTTGTGGTGGTGGAGAGGATGGGGGAACTCATTTAAGAATGGAACCCTCCCGCTTTTTCAGAAACATCCTATTATTACAGCTGATTCCATCCCTTCGGACGTCACCACTTGGAAATGTTGCCCTTGGGTTTATTTCTTTAAGGCCTCGGTGATGAATTGACCTCTGACAGTCAGTTCTGCGCATTAATATTCTCTGACATTTTATAGCCCTCACACATATTTTGCCACCAGATCAGGCGGTCAAATAAATAAAATATGGAATGCTGACAGTAAGCCAGGCAATATGACAGAGCCTTTCCTGTCTGTGGCCCTTTCAATAATGCTGTGACCTAGATATTATCTCAAATTTACAGACTGGCAAAAGTTAAAATGATTTGTATACTCGGTACTTAGGCGAGTGTGGAAATGGGCACCCTACTATATTGTTGATGGGAGTATCATCGATGTTCTCTTTGAAGATGGTAGTATCTATCAAAATTTTAAATATGGATTCATTCTCTTCTAGCTGGCAATTCCTTTAAAGAAACGTATACTACTGGCTGGGCGCAGTGGCTCACGCTTGTAATCCTAGCACTCTGGGAGGCCAAGGCGGGAGGATTGCTGGAGGTCAGGAGTTCGAAACCAACCTGAGCAAGAGCGAGACCCCGTCTCTACTATAAATAGAAAGAAATTAATTGGCCAACTAATATATATATAGAAAAAATTAGCCGGGCATGGTGATGCATGCCTGTAGTCCCAGCTACTCAGGAGGCTGAGGCAGGAGGATCGCTTGAGCCCAGGAGTTTGAACTTGCTGTGAGCTAGGCTGACGCCATGGCACTCTGGCCCAGGCAACTATCTCCAAAAAAAAAAAGAAAGCATCCCTCCAAGGAGCTGCATGTCTTTACAGAGTCAGGGGTGAAATTATGCTGGCAAGCAGAAATGAAAAAACATGGCTTCTAACATTTGCTACTTTATATGGGCTTCTTCATCATTAAGGCTCCCATATACATACAGAACAAAGCAATAAAAACCTGCATGTGGAAGTATACATAAAAGTTTATAAATGTATGGCTAAGTATGAAAGAATACTATCAAACTGTTCATAATAATTACCTCAGTGAAGGAGAGTGGGATGGAGAATAAGATATTTTAAGAGGACCTTCTTAATTTTTAGTTTTATAGACTACTGTATTAATTTACCTCTTACAACAGGCATTATTTTAGTAGTATTTATGAAGACCAGGAATTTTAGGTTGTTTGGGTTTTCAAATCATTGACAAAATTCTTCCTAATCCATAAATTTCTTAATAAAAGTATCAATAAAAATACTTTTTGAACTAGGCAAATGAATCCAAAGATTAATAAAGAATATAATATTGCAAGAATAGCTAGAAAAGATATAGAAAAAATAAAGCAGCCATAGTCCTAACAATTACAAAAATACTTAATAGCTTTTATTATTTAAAACAATTTAGAACTGGCATATGAATAGACAGACAAATCCATGGATCAAACAGAGGATCCAGAAGTAGACCTAAATATATAACAAAATGTAGTATATGACAAAGTTAGCATTTCAAAGCAATGAGGGAAATATAGATTACTTTTTTAGAAAGGTATTGTGAAGCTGGGAAGTCTTTTGAGGAAAAAATGAGTTGGATATCTACCTCACTTTTTATAGTAAATTTAATATTAAATGAATCAAATATTAAAATATTTTAAAATATTTTCTAAACTAAATTATAAAAGAAGAAAACACAGAAGTTTATAAAATATAAGTATATATTTTGTATATATTTTATATATACTTTATATATTTATATATATTTTATATATACTTATATATTTTATATATATTTATAGTATATATTTTATATATGCTTATATTTTATAAACAGAGTAGACCTTTTTAAACAAAATATTAACACAAACCCTGAAAGCTGTAAAATAAGACTGATAATGTAGCTAAACAATAATTTACATTTTTCTATCATAGAAAAAATTTCACAATTAAAATCCAAACACAAAGTGCAGAGAAAACTATTTGCAACACATAAGATAGATCTAAAAGGCTAAGTTCCTTAGGCTTAATACATAAAGAGTTCCTGAAAATCTGTAAGACTAACAACCAACTATAAAAAATGAGCAAAGGATACAAATAGACAATTCATAGAAAAGGACATACAAAATGGCTGATAAACTGGTGTGCTATACAGATTATTTTAAGCTGAAAACATCTAACAAACAGTAGCCACAGGAAAAAAAATCTTACCTACACTTCTTTTACTGACTAAGTAAAGCTTCCGAAAAATACAGCTGCCATAAATCCCCTCTCCAGGAGGTTTACAGACAGAAAGGAGATGGACCACTTGAACCTGGATGAGAAATTACATAAATAAAAGATTATCAAAACTTTCTGTACCTTCCAGTTGTTTTCTCCCCATTTGTTTCTCATTAGTTTCCTACCATTTGCTTTCCCTTGCAGTCATAGCTTTCCTTCTTAGTAAGATGATATATAAATCCTTAACTCTAGCTGTTAAGGGAGCCACTTTTTGTGCACTTCCACATATGTGAATAAACTTTGTCTTTTCTTCTGCTAATCTGTCTTTTGTCAGTTAATTTGCAGTCTCCAATCACTGATCCCTGTTGGTAGAGGGAAAAAGCTTTTTTTCCTCTGAACACTATCAAAATTCAAGTACAAATAATATCATATTCAGTGATTATAGTTTTAGATTTTATCCTATACTTATACACAAGTGTAAAATCACATATGTACAATTATTTACTATAGCATTATTTGTATTCAACAATCCAAAACAAACTATCCATCAGTGGGTATTAGTTAAATGAATTAAAGTATATCCATACAATAGAATCTGTGCAGTTGTCAAATAAGAGAATTGAAGGAAGAAACAAAAAAGAATGAGAAGATTTCACTTCTGCTGTAACAGAGTGATTAACTGTTCCAAAACTCACTCCTTCCTCAGTAAACATGTAGAAAACTAGAAAAAATGAAACAACTGTTTTAAGACATTGGACAGTAGGCAGCACAAAACTGTGATCCCTGAGAGGGGAGAAAAAGAAAAAGCAATGGAGTCTTACAATTGCTTCTGCTTTCTACCTATAGACACCTTCTGGACAGTGGCACAGAATGGAGAATCCAAACAGAGCATGGTAGTCTCAATGAGTTGAAGAGAGACATTGGAATTCCAAAAGGGTGAGTCAGCTGGAATTTCCAGGGCAAATTACTGGTGAAGAAGGACCTATGCATAAAAAGAGTTCCAGAAATTTGCATGGGAATCTTCCAAGCTGTATATGAGTAGGATGGAATTCTACAAAGCTAGGCAAACAACAATTCTGAGAACTCAAAGCTGGGAGACATTTGAGTCCTGACTAGAAATTGAGTGATAAAAAATATCAGTAATTTTTTTTCTGCTTGTTTTCAAGTTTTTTAAAAGAAGAGCTCTTACATTTTATGTGAAATGGTATAATATTATCTCTGTACACTGATACTTTTAAAGATGCATGTTATAAATGGTAGAGTAGGAGTCAGCAAATATTTTCTGTAGAGGGCCAGATAGTATAATAAATATTTTAGACTTTGCACACTACATATTTTGCATATTCATCACGTATTTTTCACTCTCTTTTTATTTGGGGGGGGGTTGTTTTTATTTTTGTTTTTTGCAACTCTTTTTTTTTTCTTATTTTTTAAATTTTTATTTATTTATTTATTTTGAGATAGAGTCTCACTCTGTTGCCCAGGCTAGAGTGCCATGGTGTCAGCCTAGCTCACAGCAACCTCAAACTCCTGGGCACAAGTGATCCTTCTGCCTCAGTCTCCCAAGTAGCTGGGACTACAGGCATGTGCCACCATGCCCAGCTAATTTTTTTTATATGTATTTGTAGATGTCCAGCTAATTTCTTTCTATTTTTAGTAGAGACGGGGTCTCGCTCTTGCTCAGGCTGGTCTCAAACTCCTGAGCTCAAACAGTCCTCCCGCCTCGGCCTCCCAGAGTGCTAACGGCACCCAGCCATTTTTTTGTAACTCTGAAGAAATGTAACACTCTTAGCTCAAGAATTATACAAAAATAGGCCAAAGACCAAATTTGGCCTGTGTGACACTGTTATGGACTGAACATTCGTGTCCTCTCCCCCAAACCCATGTGTTGAAGCCCTAACCCCCAATGTGATGGTGATATTAGGAGGTAGGGCCTTTGGGAGATAATTGGCTTTAGATGAGATCTTAAGGGTAGAGTACCCATGATGGGATTAGTGCCATAAGAAGAGGAAGAGACACTAGAGCTTCTCTCTCTGTTATGTGAAGTTACAGTGAGAAGGTGGCCATCTGCAAGGCAGGAAGGGGCCCTCACCAGAAACAATATCTGCTGGCACCTTGAGCTTAGACTTCACAGTCTCCAGAACTGTGAAAAATAAATGTCTTTTATTTAAGCCACTCTATAGAATTTTATTATAGCAAACCAAGCAGACTAACATAGTTATATTTGTCACCCCTTTCTCTAGACCAAACACTGAAAACATTAAACAAAAAGTACATCTAATAAAGCAATAGTAGAAATAAAATGTAATACTAAAAGTAGTCAAATAATCCAAAAGAATACAGGAAAAAGGAATAAAAAGAAATGGAACAAATAGAAAACAGTAGCTGGATGGTAGATTTAAACATGACCATGTTGACAATTACATTAAATGTAAATGTTCCAAAAACTTTAATTAAAAGGCAGAGATGGTTAGACTGAATAAAAAAGCAAGACTCAACTGTATGCTGTCCATAATAAACCTGTTTTAGATATAAAGACACAAATAGGTTAAGAGTAAAAGTTTGGAAAAAGATATGCCATACAAACACCAATCATAAGAAAACTGGAATGACTATATTAATATCTGGTAAAGTGGATTTTAGGATGTTATATTGCAAGAGATAAAGAAGGATAAAGAAGAGTTCATCGAGAAGCGGTAACACACCTGAATGAGTATGCTTTTAGTAACAAAGCTTCAAAACACATGTCTTAGTCCATTCTCTATTGCTCTAACATTACTACAGACTGGGTAATTTATAAAGAAAAGAAATTTGTTTGGCTCACGGTTCTGGAGTGTGGGAAATCCAAGAGCATGGTACTGGAATCTGGTAAGGGTCATCCCATAGTGGAAAGGTAAGCAAGTGCATGAGCCAGAGAGAAATGGGGCTGAACTCATCCTTTTTTATCAGGAAACTATTTCTCTGATAATTAACCCACTCTTTCAATAATAGTGTTAATTCTTTCATGAAGGCAGAGACCTTATGACCAAGTCATGTCTTAATATTGTTACAATGGCAATTAAATTTCAACATGAGTTTTGGAGGGGACGTTCAAACCATAGCAACCCATAAAGCCAAGAAAACTGACAGAACTGAAAAGAGAACTTCTAGAGATTCAACAGTATCCACCCTAGAGTATACGGTTTTCCTTTACTAGTTCCTAAGGGCATAGATCATACATTTTTTATATCTTTCAAAGTATCTTGTACAATGTTAGAGGACAGAATGAAGATTTTTTTTTTCGAGACAGAGTCTCACTGTGTTGTCCGGGACAGAGTGCCATGGCGGTAGCCTAACTCAAACCTAACCTCAAACTCCTGGGCTCAAGCGAGCCTTCTGCCTCAGCCTGCCTCATAGGTGGGACTACAGGCACATGCCACCATGCCCGGATAACTTTTTCTATATATTTTTAGTTGTCTGGCTAATTTCTTTCTATTTTTTTAGTAGAGACGGGGTCTTGCTTTTGCTCAGGCTGGTCTCAAACTCCTGAGCTCAAACAATCCTCCTGCCTCCATCTCCCAGAGTGCTAGGATTATAGGCATGAGCCACTGCGCCTGGCCTTACAGAATGAAGATTTTTAAAGATCTAAAAATTATTTGGAGAGAAATTTTACTATGTATATTAGGAATCTTTTTTAATGTTCTTGCTTTTTGACTCATTTCAAATCCTAAGATTCCATCCAAAGGAATCCATCCACACCAGCAAAGTTTTATGCTCAAAATGTTCATTGACATGTTGCCCATAATGGTGAAAAAATGGGAAGTAGCCTAAATGTTCCACTAAATGATTGGATGTGTAAACTCTGTGGCAACATTCAGTAGATTATCATGTGAGATTTGAGAAAATGCTTACAAGAGAATTTTAAATTTTCGTTTAAAGGAAGGATACAAAATTGAATACAATATTATATCAACTATATAAATATACATATGCAAGAGAAAAAAACTAGAAAGAAGTACAACAGAATGCTAACAATGGTTTCCATTAGGTGGGGAGGGTATCATAGTTTACTATAATTTTATTCTTTACATTTTTCTCTTTTTTCCAATATTGTATATCAAATACAAAAATGTATTTCTTTGATAATTTTTTAAAAATCTAATAAATATTGGGAAAAATGTAAATATCTGAATGGGCTGAATTTAACATGATTAAATTGACAGGCCCTAATGTAAAGCTCTGAATCCAGCTTTAAAAAAAAGTGGCAGGGATGATGTGACTTAGCAGAAGCAAAGTCAAGAATTATTGTTTATTTTTAACCTCAAATAAGGTAACTGAGCTGTATAGATGCTTAGAATAAATGCACATGTTGGAGAGGTATGGTGTGCAGAACAAGGGAGGTGATGGATCCTCTGTGTTCTATGCTACCCAGCCCAGAACTGGAATATTGATCTGTGTGGAGCCCCATGGTAGAAAAAGACTCCAGATATACTAGTGTATGTCCAGCAGAGGTGACCAGGATGAGGAGGGACCTGGAAGGTTTGGTGTGGAAGGGATAGCTAAGGGGCTGGGAGTTGCTGAGAGAGGAGAGGACCAGAAAAATGGAAAGCATGATACAAGTATTCAGGTTTTTGAAGGGCTCAGGGCAGAGTAGTCGGTTGTGTTCTGCGTGGCCCTGTAGAGCAGGACTGGAGCTATAGAGGGAAGCTACAGAAGGCAGATTCAGCTCTGTGTAAGGAAAAACCTGTTCAAGGTGAAAAGTCTGCCTTATAAGAAGTGAGTTGTCTATGTGTATAGGTATGCAAGCAGAGTCTGTATTGGGATATGAAGCGAGAGAAAAGGAATGAAAAAGGAGAAAACAGGAGTGAGACAAATAGAAAAAGAGAGGAAGGAAGAAAAAAGAGAGGCAGAGGCACAAGAAAGAAAAGAGGTGAGGCAGAAGCAGCAGTTTTCAGAGTATAGGGTCAGTCACTGCAAACACACTGTGTGTGGGATCTGACTTGCCTTTTCAGGTATTCATTAGCATTATCCGGAAGCACCAGCAGATGGAGATATTACCCAAGGAAAGGAGGACTCTGCTTCCCTTCCTCCCTTTGCTCCGCTTTAAAAATCAAGTTTTTCGTCTCTGAAAATGATTCTGAGAGAGAACTCCAGATATCTCTGAATTTCCAAACTAAATTTCCAAATGTTTTATGGTAAATTCTGTCTGTGATTATCCATGATTCTAACTTAGAAGAGGCTACTGTAGACTTTTGCATTTTGGGCACTGCCCATGCAGGGCTCCCTCCATCCTGCCCCATCCCAGTTATATATGCACGTATGTATATGCACATGGTGTGTGTATGTGTGTCTTTTGAATCACTGTTACATAATTAAACAACATAGGGGTATACTATGATCCTCTTCCCAGCCACCCCACCATTAACATTTTGCTTCCCTAGATAGAATCTCTATCACTTGGAATTCTTGCCAGTGGTATTTCTGAGAGTTTTTGCTCTCAACAGGTGTGTGGTACTCTTCACTGTTCCACCTAGCTCCAAAGCAGTCAATCCTGGGGATTTTCACATAATTTGTCTGATGGGCAAAGAGGTGCCTCAAAATCAATCTTGTACAAGAGTGCTTCCCAAATTTCAAGCACACATGAATCACCTGCTGATTTTGATTGAGAAGATTTGATAGGGCTGGAGATACTATGTTGCTAACAAGTTCCCAAGTGATATAGATGCTGCTGCTTTCATGGACCACACTTTGTGTAGCAAGGCCATACAATGTGTCCCTATATCATGAGGGGCCAAGACACTTCTGTCAAGAACTATACTTGGCTCCATGTAACTACTGCTGTCTTTGTCACCCCTTAACTTTGATTTAACTGTTCATATTTTCATTCAATCAATCAACATTTACAGAGTCTAGTATGTGTAAGCTGTATGTCAGTTGATTTTAACCAACATTACTAAGCATCTTTAGTTCTAGTCCCTGTGCTAGGCTTCCAAGATCAGTGATAATCCATGCCCATTCCTTGCTCTGTCACTCATTCACTCCACATTTATTGAGGGTCTACTGTGTGCAAGCATTGTTCCCAGAGTTGGAGGTACAGCAGTGAACAAAACAAACATAAATCTATTTTTTATTGTTTAATCCCAACATTGTTTATTGTTAACCCCAATTAAGTTTAGTGAGAAAAAGATCAATGGGGGAGACAGACAAATAATTACACAATTAAGCTCTTTTTCTTCTTCCTTTTCCCTTTCTGAACAATTCAACCCAAAAGTTATTAGGTGGAGTCAAGTAAATTAGCCTTCCAATCAGAGGAAAAGCTATGACAGCTAATGCAACACATGATTCTTGACAAGATTTTTTTGCTATAAAAACATTATTGGAGGCCCAGCGCTGCTCACGCCTGTAATCCTAGCACTTTGGGAGGCCAAGGCAGGAGGATCACTTGAGCCCAGGAGTTCACTTTAGCCCAGGAGTTCGAGACCAGCCTGAGCAAGAGCAAAACTGTCTCTACAAAATAATAGAAAAATTAGCCAGGCATAGTGGTGCATGCCTGTAGTCCCAGCTACTCAGGAGGCTGAGGCAGGAGGATTGCTTGAGCCCGGGAGTTTGAGGTTGTAGTGAGTTAGCTATGATGAGGCCACTGCATTCTAGCCTGGGCAAATAGTGAGACCCTGCCTCAAAAAAAATAAACAAAAAACAAAAACCCCAAACATTGGATGTGAGGGTGATCTGGCTGTGACATCTGTCACCCCATCGTTGATCGCCAGGATTGATTCGACTTCCTCCTTCACCGCTCCCTGTGGGTCGCTCCCGAAGCTGCGCACTCACTCGGTGGAAGAGGATGATCTTCCTGATAGAGGATTGTTCTTCAGTCAAGGGTATATGAGTAGCTGCGCTCCCCTGCTAGAACCTCCAAAAAAGCTTTCAAAAACCCAAACATTATTGGGACAATTGGTGAACTTAAATAGGGTGTAAGGATTATATGATAGTAATATATCAATGCTAATTTTCTGATTATGATGGCTGTATTGTAGTTATTTAGGGAATGTCCTTGTCTGCAGGAAATACTATAGTCTTCAGGGGTGATGGCATATCAGGTTGATAACTTACTCTAAATGGTTCATGACAAAAAATGTTCTTTACACTGTACTTGCATGTTTCTGTAAGTTTGAGATTGGGTAATTAGAAGTGTGACAAGTACTAAGAAAAAGGGGCCTGCAGACGTTCGGAGCATCTTGGGTGTTGGGGTCAGGGAAGGGATGGGGAAGTGAAAGTGATTTACAGAACAGAGATTAGTCAACCTTGAGTTCTTGCCCTTCATCTACATGCCCTTTGGACGAGACAAAAGGTGTCCGGACTAGGACCATGCTTAAAGGCCTCCTTTTGCCCTCCTCCTGCTCTAATTCCCCGTGCAGAAGAAGAGTTGAATCCTCAGGAACAAAGGGGCATGTCTATCAGCTAGGACTACCCCTTTTTAGTCTATTCCAGAACCTCTCCCTGTCCAAATGCTCTGAGCTTGGTGGGCTTCTCCTCCTGGTCCATCCTCGGAGTTGATTGAGCCACAGGTTTGTGCAGCCTCTGCCCGGGAGGGACCATGGCAGGGAGCTGTTTGCAGGGCTGTGGACAAAGTTGGACTTAGAGCTGGATGTCCACGTGTGTGGGTGGGAGGCCCTAGGGAGGGGCAGCTCCCCGCCAGCTGCCACATTTATTGGGGCTCAAGGAGTTCCTGTCAAGAGAATCCTAAATTTGAACTTGGCCTTTCAGGTGTTGAGAAGATATATTTGTCACAGTAGCAGAGAGAGACGATACTCTGTCTCGACCGTGCTGAGCGGGAAGAAGGCCCACACCAAGATTAGGCTGAAGCCGCAGGACCCTTGGGCGCTTGGGGCTCTAGACGCGCCAAATCCGTAAAGTGCGGACGAGCGATGGGCCAATCAGATGCTGCGCCTTAGAGAGGCCGGCCAGGGAGGGGTGTGGCGCCGAGTGGGCGGAGACCACGCCTGTACGCGAAGAAGGGCGGGGATGACACGCCTCGGGGCGTGGGGGGCGGAGCCGCGCGTCTCCACGCACTCTGGGCGGTGCCGGGGGAGGCCACGCCCCTTCCGGCTTGCTGCTCTGCTCTGCTTCCCGCGTGTTAGCTAGTGCGGTGGTGACTGCGGCTGTGTTAACCCCAGGGCTTGGCGGCCAGACAGGCGAGATGGCGGCAGAGGTGTTGCCGAGTGCGAGGTGGCTGTATTGTGGCGAGCCCGAGGAGAGCCAGAGAGCTGTGCTGGGTAAAGACTGCGGAGCTGGGACAGAGTTCCCCGTAACCCTCTCCCCTTCCGTCTCCGTACCTCTGCTGTCCTGCCCTCCTGCTAGGTCCGCTCACCTGCTGGGCCAGGACCCCCTCTAAGTCTCCGCCACTCCTTTCGGCTCGGCCAGGGTTCCCCTGTCATATCGCCATCTTTCTGTCACTACCTCTCAGCTGGATGATGACATCCCAGTCACCTCCTTCCCAGGGCTCTGTCCAGGACCATGACGAGCCCTCACCACCAGGCCTCCCACCTGACCCATTTCCCTTTGTGTCTCTAGGTCTGGATCAGGCCTTCTCTGTCAGCCTCATTCCTCCCCCTCCCTGCCCTCCGTCATTCCTGCCTGCCACAGCCCTTCCTCAGGGCTTCCCCCTCCACTACCACCTCTCCATACCCTCTTTCCAGTGGGCTCAGGACCTTAATCCCCCTTTAAGTCAGGACCTGAGCTTCCTTGCCATCTGCATTCCAACAATCACCCCTGTTACTCCCCACCATACACTATGGGTTCTTCTGCCCTCATCTCATTCACGGGCTGCACTCTTACAGTCCAGTTCTCCAATGGAAAGCTGCAGAATCCAGGCAACATACACTTTACCTTATACAAGAGCAGTGACTCCACAAACCCCAGGAAGAGGAATCAGCGGATCCTGGTAAGTGCTGCAGTTGGCAGTTGCTTCCACTCTGCGGGTCTCAGGAGGCCCCTTGGGTGTGGGTGGATGTGGGAGAGAGTGAGGAGACCAAAAGGGAGTAAATAGGGAGTAGCAAATGGGACTCTGAGGCCCAGCAGCTTGGGGCATGGATACAGGCTCCATCCCTGTTTAGTACTTTTGGTGTAGTCATTTGTTCTTTCAACAAGCATCTATCGGATACCCACTGTATCCCATGCAGTAAGCTACTGGGGAAAGGGCCAAATCAGACCTGGCCCCACTCTAATGAGTTCATACTCCAGAGCAGGGTTTCTGAACCTCAGCACTAGTGGCATTTTGGGCTAAATAATTCTTTCTTGTGGGTGGCAGTCCTGTGCATCACAGGATGGTTAGCAGCATCCCCGGCCTCTGCCCACTAGATGCCAGCAGCACTGGTGTGGATTTCCTTGGGTTGAGAAACTACTCTAGAGAAGAGAGAACTGACCATGAGGGACACTGACAGGGTAGACAAAGGTCAGAGGCCAAGTGAGGGGAGTACAGGGCAGAATGAGCTCAGCAGGAGGAGAGGGCTCTGTTTACTGGAATGCCATCCTTGTGGAGGGTGCATTGGAGCTGAGCCTTGAAGGACGGAGGGAGAGTTTGATGATGAGGTTTGGTGTTCCAAGTAAAGAGTAGATGAGAAGGACAAACACACATGACTGGGGAGTCAATCAGCCATTTCCATGGTCCTGGGAGTATATACGGAACAGCTGTGGGAGAAGTGGGCCAAGAGGATTGCTTACAGAATCGGATTGTTGCCTACCTCTAAGTGCTGAAGGCCAGGGCCTCTCTCTCAAGTCCTGTGATGATGTGACTCCTCCAAGAACTTAAATACCAGTTAGAAGCCAGCATCATCTGAGGCTTCCCTTTCAAAAGCCCTCTTGCCCTTCTTCCAGAGATACCCCAGATTCCCTTAGAGATAGTGGGGCTGGAGCATTTCCCAGAAGCTCTCTAGTTCTGATCCACTGTAGTTCTGGATTCTAAAGCTTCTGCGATGTAGAAAAGAGAGACGATGCTTATACCTTTCAATGCTGGTTGTAAATGAAGTTTCCTCCTGTCTACATTTTAGGCAGCTGAAACAGACAGACTTTCCTATGTGGGAAACAATTTTGGGACTGGAGCCCTCAAATGCAACACTCTGTGCAGGTGATACTGGGGGAAGGGACAGTGGGATGGGCGATGGGCCGGGGCATGATGGCAGCACTGGCACTGCTGCTTTGGGTTTATTTTAGGGGCAGTGGGAGGAATCTAGGGAGGCTTAGTAGGTCTCTGGGTTCCTTGACTCCAGGGCCCTTACCCCAGCCTGTAGACATTCCTGGAAGGGCAAGGTGATTTATATTTGTCAAATTTCCTAAAAACCTCATTTATTTGCAAGCTTACATATTTACAACTATCTTATTCCAGAAGGCAGCTTTCTCCACTAGTTTGGAGTGTGTGAACAGTGGGTCAAAGCTTGCCTGGAGTTTGCCTTGGAACTAACTACAAGAAAAGAATTTGGTAGTGTTGAAGGCTCTGGGAGCCTGGAGTTTCCATCCAGCTGTGCTGCTGATTGACTGAGTGACTTTGGACAACTGCTTGTCACTGACCCTGGGTCTACTCCTCTGCACAGTGAAGACTGTCCAGCCTGAACTATCTATAACTCTCAGGGGCTCTTAACAGTGCACTCCCCTCACAAAGGTGCACTAGTTCAGATTGGTCTTCTCCCCATTTGCTTGCATTTGTGTCCATAAAATGTACATGTGCAGTAAATTCTGGTGTAATTGTAAATTTTTATACACCAAAAGGGTTTCTCATTATAATACAGCAGTGATTCCAAATATGATCAGCTATCAGAATGACTTGGTAGCTTTTTCCCCAGAACCACCTCCTGTCCCTTCCCTGCCTTTTCGCTCTCCATGCATGGAATCACTGCTGTAGGGTATTATTGTTACCCATGAGCAAGTTAAGCATTCCTCAGCTATGTTGGGGAAGAAGGAAGGTTGAGAACTTTTAAAAAGGAAAAAGATGGGAGGCCGAGGCAGGCGGATTGCTTGAGGTCAGGAGTTCGAAACCAGCCTGAGCAAGAGCAAGACCCTGTCTCTACTATAAATAGAAAGAAATTAATTGGCCAACTAATATACATAGAAAAAATTGGCCGGGCATGGTGGCGCATCCTGTAGTCCCAGCTACTTGGGAGGCTGAGGCAGGAGGATCGCTTGAGCCCAGGAGTTTGAGGTTGCTGTGAGCTAGGCTGACGCCATGGCACTCACTCTAGCCTGGGCAACAAAGCGAGACTCTGTCTCAAAAAAATAAAAAAAAAAAAAAAAAGAAAAAAGGAAGTTGTGTAAATGATACTTTCGAATAATCTATCATCACTGCTGTTATTCCTTCTTTATTCAGGCACTTTGTAGGAGTTTTGAACAAGACCTCTGGCCAAATGGAAGTATATGATGCTGAATTGTTCAACATGCAGCCACTGTTTTCAGGTAGGTCCCAGCCATGAAAGCTGACAGAAACACTGTGTATTTTGAGTTTGTGAGATGAGTTGGTTTGAGTTTTAGATTTGTAAAACACATGTTGTAGTTGTTTTTAAATGAATGCCTTTCTGTTAGTTTGTTTTTCTTTTCTTTTTCTTTTTTAGAAAAAGTTTTAGAGTTTGTTTTATTCAGCAAACATTTATTGATGACCTACTGTTGGACCAGGCACCAATCTAAGGGCTGAGGATGTCACAATAAGACAGAGATCTGTCCCCATAGTGTTTATAGACTTGAGATCAGAAACCATTTTAGTTAAAGCAAGATGAGCAATGATAAGAGCAGAATATTACAGCTGTGCTCCCCAACCCCTGGGCCTCAGATGGTTACAGGTTGGTGGCCTTTTAGGAACTGGGCCACATAGCAGGAGGTGAGTGACAGGTGAGCCAGCAAAACTTCATCTGTATTTACAGCTGCTCCTCATTGCTCACCATCCCTCCCCCTGCAATCTGTGGAAAAATTGTCCTCCATGAAACCTGTCCCTGGTGCCAAAAAAGTTGGGGACTGCTGTATTAATTAGGGTATGTCTGATGTGAAATTCTTCTCCATCAAAGGTTTTTCTTAATTCTTTTTTTTTTTTTTTTTTTTGAGACAGAGTCTCACTTTGTTGCCTAGGCTAGAGTGAGTGCCGTGGCGTCAGCCTAGCTCACAGTAACCTCAAACTCGTGGGCTCAAGTGATCCTCTTGCCTCAGCCTCCTGAGTAGCTGTGACTACAGGCATGTGCCACCATGCCCGGCTAATTGTTTATATATATGTATTAGTGGGCCAATTAATTTCTTTCTATTTATAGTAGAGACGGGGTCTCACTCTTGCTCAGGCTGGTTTCGAACTCCTGACCTTGAGCAATCTGCCTGCCTCAGCCTCCCAGAGTGCTAGGATTACAGGTGTGAGCCACCGTGCCCTGCCAATTCTTTTTCTTTTTTGTAGAGTTGAGGTCTCACTCTTGCTCAGGCTGGTCTTGAACTCCTGACTTCAAGTGAGCCTCCTGCCTTGGCCTCACAGAGTGCTAGGATTACAGGGTTCTTAATTCTTAATTGTTGTTGTTGGAGTCGAGGTTTTAGAATTTCTGGTAGATGAAGAAAATTGCTTATAGGTTAGATAGTAACTTTCAGATTGATGAAAAGTGTCTACACTAATTTGGCTAATCCAGTGGAAAAAGTTGCATTGTTTCTTCGCTTTGTTATCTTAGAATGCGCAGGGCTAGGGTGAGATCTTTTGACATGATAAATAAGAGGGTCAGAGTCAAGGGGTTCCTGTTCCCAAATCTCAAAACGTGAATCCTTATGGTGTCCTTAAATACTGAGAACAATGGCAGGGGAGAGTGTAGGTAGGGAAGGATCAGTATAGATTTGCCTGAAATCTTCAAAGGTGTTAGTTCCAATTTTATTCAAAGTAGTGGTTCCAACTCTTTTAAGAGTCTGATAAGGACCTGGATCTACTTCCCAGAAACATACATAATATATAAAAATATATATGGGATTTTACACATAATTGTAAAGGGCCCTTAAGTCCTCATACCCACCTGTGAATTTCCTGGGGAACCATAGGCTTGGAGCCTATGGTTAAAAATGCCCTGCTTTGTGAACAAATAGAACTACCTTTTTTTTTTTTTTTTTTTTAAGAGACAGACTCTCGCTCTGTTATCCAGGCTGGAGTCCAGTTGTGGAATCACTGGATAGCTGGTGAGTTATCACCACAACCTTGAACTCCTGGGCTTGAGCAATCCTCTGCCTAAGCCTCCCCAGTAGCTAGGACCACAGACATATGCCACCATGGCTAGTTAATTTCTTTATTTTTTGTAGAGATTTTATCTTGTTATATTCCCCAGGCTGGTCTAGAACTTCTGGCCTCAAGCAATCCTCCCACTGTGGCCTTCCAAAGTGCTGGGATTACAGGCTTGAGCCACTACGCCCAGCTAACTTCATTTAAGTTATTCTCCAAATGTTCTTGTACATTCTAAGGAGGCAAGGAAAATTGTTTGTTGATTAAACACATTTTTGTTTTTATATGTAAGCAATTTGTAAATATTGGTTTATTCTAGCTAGCATACCCACACACAAAGCATTTATATTGGGTCCTTACTGTGTGCTAGTCACTTTTCTAAGCACTTCGATGCACTACATCACATACTTCACACAGTGGCCTTCTGGAGTAGGCACTGATATTCTTTTTTTATCAGTGATGAAACTGGCACAAAGGGTAGATGACTCAGGTGAGGCCACTCCAGAGCTTGTGCTCTTGTTCACTAGATTATACTGCCCCTTATTTGAATACATTATGGAGGATTAGAGAGCATCATGTAAGTAATACATACCTCATGTTTAGGCCTACTTTTAGGTCTATCAATAGGACAGCAAAACTATTTACTAGAAGGAGCCAGGGACTTGGTTTCTAATTTTATCTCTGCCACTGCCTGGTGAACTGACTTGGGGCAAGTCATTTCACCTGGAGGCCTCATTTTTTTTTATTTGTAAAATGAAGAAGTTGGACTACATGACCCCCTTCATTTGACTTCCTAATCTATTCTCCAAATTCTCTGATTATATATGAAAGCTACATATTAAATGTTCATGGCAGGGTGAGGTGGCTCATGCCTATAATCCCAGCACTTTGGAAGGCTGAAGCGGGAGGATCGCTTGAGCCCAGGAGTTCAATACCAGCCTGCGTAGCATAGCGAGAACCCGTCTCTACAAAAAAAATTAAAAATTAGGCTGGGTGTGGTGGTACACACCTGTAATCCTAGCACTCTGGAAGGCTGAGGCGGGAGGATCACTCAAGGTCAGGAGTTTGAAACCAGCCTAAGCAAGAGTGAAACCCTGTCTCTACTAAAAATAGAAAGAAATTAATTGGACAACTAAACATATATATAAAAAATTAGCTGGGCATGGTGGTACATGCCAGTATTCTCAGCTACTCAGGAGGCTGAGGCAGAAGGATTGCTTGAGCCCAGGAGTTTGAGGTTGCTGTGAGCTAGGCTGATGCCATGGCACTCTAGCCCGGGCAACAGAGTAAGATTCTGTCTCAAAAAATAAAATAAAATAAAATAAATTAAGATTTAGCAAGGTGTAGTGGTGCTCACCTGTAATCCCAGCTACTCAGGAGGCTGAGGCAGGAGGATCACTTGAGCCCGGGAGATTGAGGTTGCAGTGAGCTATGATGACACCACTGTACTCTAGCCTGGTTGTACCCTATCTCCTAAGAAAAAAAAATGTTTACAGTATACATTCATATTAGGCTCAGGGAAATCCTATAGGAAAGAAATATATTTTTCTTAGATTAACTGTTAAACAAATAAATACTATTACTATTTATAGACCTTACAGTTTACTTTTTTCTTTCCTTCTGTTTTTGTGTGTTTTGATAGATGAATCAATTGAGAGTGCACTGACACTAGAGAGCCAGACCAGAACTTACAGAGAAAAGGTGAGTATGACAAAACTAAGATGTGGGACCTTAAGCAAGTTCGTTTTGGGCTTTGGATTTCTCCATCAGTAAAAGGGGCTTACTGAACTCAGGGGTCTCCCTGGCTGTTCCCTGCACATTTAGTGTGTGGTTCCCTGGACAATCTGTGACTGCAGTCTTCCCTGGTCTCACAGACAGCAGTTCTGCCCCTGCCAAGGGCAGCTAAATGCAGCTCTGTGCCATTGTTTGGTATTGTCCTCTGGGCTGATAAAGGTGAAGCATAACACTTGTTTTCAGGACTTAAGTTTGTTTCAGAAAATACTGGATGTAGCCTGAAAACTTTCACGTTAAAACAAAGTAAACTTCGGGATTTTTTTTTTTTTTTCACTCTGTTGCCCCAGCTAGAGTGCAGTGGCACCGTCATAGCTCATTACAACCTCAAACTCCTGGGCTCAAATGATTGTCCTGCCTCAACCTCCTGAGTAACTGGGACTACAGGCGTGTGCCACCACACGTGGCTAATTTTTCTATTTTTTTGTTGAGACAGGGTTTTGCTCTTGCTCAGGCTGGTCTTAAATTCCTGCACTTAAGCAATCCTCCTGCCTTGGCTTCCCAGGGTGCTAGGATTACAGGTGTGAGCCACTGTGCCTGGCCAAACTTTAGGATTTTTAATGCAGAAGTTTCCTACAAAGGTCAGCTAGCTCACCCCAGGATGGCAAACTGATTGAACCTCTTGTGCTACTGGGGCACTCTATTGAGAGGGGGTATGAGGCTACCTCCAGCTTTGGGGGAAGGAGCAAGTGATCTTTTATGGGTGTCTTTTATGGGTGTTGGATGGGAGAATGCTAACCTGTGGGCCACAGATTTACCAGCCCTGGGTCTAATGAAGTCTTTTCATTTTGCTGCTGATGCTGTTGATTTGTACATTTATCATTTACTGTGAAGTAAGTACTTCACATCTGTTAGTAACATCCTATGCTCACAATAGTCCTAGGAAGTGATGAGCTATGACTCTGCCTTATTTATAGGTGAGGTGATGATGGTTCAGGGATATTGGGAGTTTTTCTGTTGTTGCACGGCTAGGAGTAGCAGTTCCCGCCATTCTGTCTCTAGTAACCAGAGTTGTCTCTTGCACAGATGGATTCTTGTATTGAAGCCTTTGGAACCACCAAACAGAAGCGAGCCCTGAGCTCCAGGAGAATGAACAGAGTTGGCAATGAATCTTTGAATCGTGCAGTAGCTAAGGCCGCAGAGAATATCATTGATACGAAGGGTGTGACTGGTAAGCAATTGGAACTTGGGCTTTCCAGCTGCCCATGATGACAGCTTTCTCTTCTCTTGGGATCTTTTATCCACCCCAAAGGTGGGATGGTGGGAGTTAGGGCTGAATTTCTTCTTGCCTCTTGCTGAATGCCTTCTCAGGGACAGGCTCTGGAAGTAGAAAGAAACATCTGACATGGCCCTGCCCTCAGCTTACAGCTGAGTAGAGGACACAGGCAGGGAACAGACATGTGCATGCTGTGTTCTGGGTGCCAGGGTTATATCCTGCTGGGCACAGAGGAGGGAGAAGGCCTCAAGTCTCTCTTTGTGAGTCACAGGGAGACTTTGGTCAAAAAGGCTGATGTGCTGATGATGAAACAGGCCTCCACAGGAGGTGTTTTACATTGGGGTTTGTGGATCTTTTTCTGGTCTTCAGCACCTTCGGTATTTAATTGTATTATTTAAAAATCTATTTATTGCTCAAATACATATAAGATCAGAAGAGAAAGCTTATGTAAGAGCAGTTTTTCTATTAAGAACGGAATTCCAGTAATATTTAGAAAATCTTTCCACACCATGTGATTATTTAAATATTTTCCTATGTTTTCTTTTAGTACTTTTCACAGTTTTATTTTATTTTATTTTTTTGAGACAGTCTCACTTTGTTGCTCAGGCTAGAGTTCTGTGGCGTCAGCCTAGCTCACAGCAACCTCAAACTCCTGGGCTCAAGCAATCCTTCTGCCAACCTCCTGAGTAGCTGGTACTACAGGCATGCGCCACCATGCCCAGCTAATTTTTTCTATATATTTTTAGTTGTCCAGCTAATTTCGTTCTATTTTTAGTAGAGATGAGGTCTTGCTCTTGCTCAGGCTGGTCTCAAACATCTGAGCTCAAACGATCCTCCTGCCTTGGCCTCCCAGAGGGCTACAGGCATGAGCCACAACGCCTGGCCCATATTTTTTGACATTTAAATCTTAACTCAGTGAATTATTTGTTTGTTTGTTTTGGCATATTGTACAGATCTAATGTTTACCCTCAAGGCTCGGTCATCCAATAAATCTACTTTTATATTTTCCAAATGATTAGCCAATTGTCCCCAACTCTATTCTTTGCTTTTATAAAGGGTGAGTTTAAAAAATCTTTATCATCTTCATCATTTCATTACATTCTTAAAACAGTTAGCTGTGTTCCACTTCATTGTTCTGTTTCTGTAGCAGCACAAAGCTCTTTCGATTACAGTAGCCTTATAATCTGGTTTAGCATCTGATAGGGCAAATTCATTCTTCACCTTCATTTTTATTTTTCAAAAATGTATTGGCTGTTTAACATGCTTTTTCAGGTAATCTTAAAAATTATTCTGTCACATTCTCTCAAAAATCCAATTGGGATTTACATGGGGAGAATCAACATCTTTACAATTGTGTTTTCCTCTCCAGAAACGTGGAAGTAGGTCTCTCTATTTAATCAAAGACATACTTTAAATTAAAAAAAATTTTTTATTAAGTTTATTGTCAGGTATTAAAGGACATTTAAGAAGAAAATTAATTCATATTCCCATCATTCTACCAGTCCAACTTAGAATTTTTCTAAGTTTTCTTTGTCATCTTAGAAGTTTTCTTTGTCATCCTTGTCTATATGCATATTTCTTACATGGTTATTGTTCTAGGGATGTTATAATTTTATATTCTGAGGGTTTTTTTATTCGTAATATCTGGCAAAATTTTCTAGAAGTTAAGCCATTAAGGGCTATTTTGAATATCCCTAATGTTTGGCTTCTCTCGTATTGTATTGTAAATGTTTATTAGCTTATCTGTCTCTCCCAGCTACTGCAAGTTACTTGAGGGGAGCCATGCACCTGGTCTGGGGCTTGGTTAGTGTTTGCTTCATGAGTGAACGTGGTAGTCCTGGAGCCTGTTGGGGAGGTTGTGTCACTTTGGCAGAAGCATCAGACTTGGGATTTCTAGACCATTTATGGTCTTGTCTGCACAGACTACAGAGTGTATTGGGGAACCCGAAACAAACAGGATGATACTGACACTAATTTTTCCTTTATTGAAAAGCGCTGGTCAGTGATGCCATCCACAGTGACTTGCAAGATGACTCTCTCTGCCTTCCTCACTGCTATGCTGATGCAGCCAAGCCTGAAGATGTGTATAAGTTTGAAGATCGTATCCTTCTTGTGGTAGAAAAGATGCCTTATTTCACAAGTTGGGATGTTTGCACATGAATGGCATAGCCAGGATCTCTTAAGGGTATGTGTGGCCCTGTGACATTCACAAAAGCTGCATCCAAACCTTTGCACTTGTCCCAGTTCTACTGCCAGAAGACCAACTAGGCTTCCTCACTAGCTGATGGACCCATTCTTTAGCAAAATGGCAACTGTCCGCAGCTTGGACCTGGCAGAGGGTCACTCTCCATAAATAGTTGTATCATGACTTTGGAGTTGGCCAGTGCCCAAAGTCGGGCAGACCATTCTTGTAATGGGAATGGTTGGAGCTTAGAATTTCACTACTTGTTGGCTCTGGTGAGATGGAAAATGCCTGCAGTGGCTTTGTGATAAGAAAGAGAAGGCAGAAATGCCAAGGCAGGGAACCAGCTCTGGGCTGGGAGTTTGAAAACTGAGTCCCCCAGCTCTGCCCTGATATGATCTGTCCTGTGTGATCTTCCCCTCTCTGAGCCTCAGTTTTCCTGTATCTAAATGGGGCCACTACAAGACAGTCTAGCTAGTTGGCTGTTTCCATTTTGCTTGGATTGTGTTCTTGACCTGTAACTAGTTCTTTCCCCTGTGGAGTATGAGGCTCTTCAGAGCCCGTCTGAAGCTTTCAGGAACGTCACATCAGAAGAGATATTGAAGATGATTGAAGAGAACAGGTACCCCCACTTGGGCAGATGGAGAGTCTGGGAAATGATGTTGGCACACAATAATAGACACTAAGCAGGACCTTTGCATATCAGTCAGTGAAGAGGTATGTCTGTTCAGATTCGAGCATGAAGGAGTCAGTGTTTTCTTGATGTTGGGGCTTCCAGGAGCCGTGCTGGGTAGCATTCAAGAGAGAGAGTTGGCCTCTGAGTGCAACTGGGCAGAGGGTTGTAAGGCCTTGTAGTGTGGCCTGCTGCCTGCAAGTTTTCCTGGAACACAGCCCTGTTCTCTTAAATAGTATCTATGGCTGCTTTTGCACTAAACAGCAGTTGAGTAGTTGCAACCGAGGTTATATGACCCACAAAGCCTAAAATACTTACTCTCTAGCCCTTTGCCCATGGTTCCTCCTGTTGTAAGGAGTGTGCGCCTCTAGGGTGCCTGCTTTTCTCATGGTGAGTTGTCTTTCCCGGACACATGGCTCCCTTTCCCTTTCTTCTTTCAGCCACTGTTCCTTTGTCATAGAAGCGTTGAAGTCTTTGCCATCAAATGAAGAGAGCCGAGACCGGCAGGCCCGATGCATATGGTTTCTGGACACCCTCATCAAATTTCGAGCTCAGAAAGTGATTAAGCGTAAAAGTAAGCCCATGGTAGAAATTTTATTCTAGGTATTTCTACTCTGTTATTTGTCTATAATTCTTAGATCAACTTTAATGAGCAAAGAGAATGGATGTGTCTAAGTTTTTAACTGTCTAACAGTGAGATTCCTATTGGTACTGCGGATGTGCTGAGAGGATTTGCCAAGCTCTTTTTTCTCTCTGGAACTGTTTTCTCATCTCAACGTGGGGACAGTTGGATTATATGATTGCTCAGGGCCATTCCAGAGATAATGACAGTCACTACTTCTTTTCTGCATGAGGCAAAGTATAGTATCAAGGTCAAATCAAATGAAAACTTTGAGACTATTAGAAAAAACATATGTTTATGCATATATATATATATATAAAAGCTCATGAAGACTTGTGGCAGGTTTGTGTTGTGTCAGCTTAGTTCTGACTAACAGAGGAGAGAGTCAGTTTCTAATAGCTACTCCAGTATCATCTGTAGCCAGGGCCGTTGTGGCTGCCACCAACTCACACCCACCCAGAGTTGGAACCCAGCAGGAGACATCTGTGGTTTTAGGCACAAGGTGTATTCAGATTGGGTTTCCAAGAGATTATATTCATATTTTTCAGTATAGTTATGTATTGCTTAATGACAGGGATATACATTGTTAGCGTGTACTTACACAAACCTGGATGGTATAGCCTTCTACATACCTAAGCTATATAGTATAATCTATCACTCCTAGGCCATAAACCTGTGTAGCATGTTACTTTACTGATGGTAAGTATTTCTGTATCTAACCATGTCTAAACATAGAAAGAGTACAGTTACAATCTTTTGGGACTACCATCATATATGAGGTCTGATGTTGACTGAGACGGCACTTGACTATATCTGCTTGGTTCTTATTCTCGCGTTTAAATCTCCCTTTTTCCTTGGGCTTTCTGCACAATTTATTTGTTTTCTAACATCTTAGTAATTCAGTGTCCTTGGCCTCATTTGAGTGTTTTTTCTTTCCTGTTGCTGCCCCATCATAAATGTCTCTCTGCACCTACGATCTGCAGGCTGAAACACAACTGATCATATTTTCATTTGGAAGCAGCTGTTTTGTGTCATGGGTCCCTGCTTCTCCTACCACCTGGTTCTGTTCACTGCAGCGGCCCAGCTGTTGGCCTCTTCTCCCAGCTCATGGCTGAGACGTGGCTGAGGGTTTTGAGACAAATTGATGAAACTCAGCTTTCTGTTGTAGGTGCCCTGGGACCTGGAGTTCCACACATCATCAACACCAAACTGTTGAAGCACTTCACCTGCTTGACTTACAACAATGGCAGGTAGGGGGGTGGTTTCTGGGGGTTCTGCCTGTGAAGGAGAAGCAGGTGGGGGGTGGCAGTGAAGAGTAAGGGGCTAGGATTCAATTCCATGTCCTCAGAGATGTGGTGCTGAAGAGATTACTGCCTTTGGAAGGAGCTCTGGATCCAGCAAGTTTAGGAAACACTATATAATACGTACTTTGTCCCCCCCTTGGAAAAGTTCACACTATCTTTTGGGAACATGGGAGGCTCTGGGACATCCTGCAATTAAGATTTGTTTCACTTCACATACTTCTTTCAAGGAGCCCTTCCTGATGGCCCACATAACTAGTGCTTTGTGGAAAGGCAGCATTGCAGGAAAGGGCAGGCCAAGGTGGTGATTTTGGGGAAAGACCCCAAGCTGCACCCTGGGCTTCCTTTTCTGCCATTTGCTTGGAGTGTGTTTCCTGTTCCTGACTGTGCTTAGAATAATCGTCAGCAACTGAGTTTGGGATGACTTTTCCCAGCAGCCCTGCCTGGCAGGCAGCAACAGGCTCAGAGGGCCATCACCAATGTGAAGCTCTAACAGTGCCTGGGGAGAGTGTAGGTGCAGCTTCTCTATCCCACTTGGAGGGAATCACTGGGATTAGCACACTGCTCTACTGTGTGTGAGACTTGGGTACCTTGGAAGGGATAAAGAATGCTGCCCAAATTCCTTTTCCTTTCCCCAAGTTGGGAAGACATTGAATACATATGAGAATAGGCTTGGATGTTTGTTTGTTTTTTTTTAACTTTTGGGGAAATTTTTCGAGTTTAATTTTGTTTCTCCTTTATTGCCACTGATTTTGCAGTTTACGGAACTTAATTTCGGATTCTATGAAGGCAAAGATTACTGCATATGTGATCATACTTGCCTTGCACATAAACAACTTCCAGATTGACCTGACAGTGTTACAGAGGGACCTGAAGCTCAGTGAGAAAAGGTGAGCACAGCAGAATAAAAAGAAATACACCATGGTGCCTTGGTGTATTTATAGTACCATGGGATGTTTAACATACTAACTGCCTTGTGAGTTGTATTTAACTCATGATTTTGAGTTTTGAGCCTGGGGCCTCGTGAAGCATATGTAACTCACCCGTCTCTTCACCTTGGGAGCCAAGAGAATTATTTTTCAAGTTGCATATAACCCGCACACATAAAGCAATAAAAAATAAAAAGTTTTTCATTAAATTAGAAAGGATCATTTTGTTTTTGAAGTTTTTATTCTGTTTTCGTAATAAAACACCGTGGCCCCAAGGAAAAAAATTTTTTCCAAGTATGGCAGTCAGTGTGTTGATATGGGAAAAACTTGGGACCAGCAGATAATTTTCAATGAATAAATCATTAGATGAAGGAGCAACTAGATATTACTGAGCACCTTCTCTTTGCTAGGCACAGTGCTAAACTATGTCATATTATCTCATTGATTTCCCTAAAAATCAATTGAATAATCTGAGGTTCAGGAAAGTAAATGACTTCCTCAAGTCACACAACCAAGAGGGGAGTCAGGCTTCAGACCTGAGCCTTTCCATAGCATTTCATTCCTGAATAATTGAGCAACCTCCATTCTCTGAATTGCTGGCACTGGGGAGAGGGATTCTGTATGGTTCTCAGGGGTGGAACCTAGGGTTGGAAGTTATAGGAAAGCCCAACTTCAGCTTACTAAGAAGAGCTTTCTCAGAATCAGATGGAAAGGACTGTCAGGGGAGGTGTTCAAGGCAAGGCAGAGCCACTGGTTAGCAGAGTTGTCATGTTTGAGCTTCTCTGACCAGATAGGAAGAGCTGGTAGAGATAGATGACCTTTTAGGCTGCTCCTAGCCTTGCAGAGGGATTCAGACAGCAGCGGGCAGGTGCTGAAACACACCTGCTGAAACACACATGGCCCAGGCTCTGTCTCTGATGTCCAGGGCTCTTCGGAGGCAGTGGGGACAGCTGTGATCTGTGATGCTCTGTGTCTAGGAGGCTGGATCAGTGAAGAGAGCCCAGCTCCCTGAACAGGGCCCCAGGAACCTGAACTGTGGGGTCAGGTGGCCTTTGTCAGTGTTTTCAGGGCATCTGATATCCAAGGACCCAGATGATGTTCCAAGAAAACCTGTGAAAACACTTCCCAGGGGTGGGGAACCTGTGGCCTCAGGACTACATGGGGCCTTCTAGGTCCTTAAGTGCAGCCTTTTGACTGAATCTAAATTTTACAGAACAAATCCGTTTAATAAAAGCATTAATCCTTTATTAAAAGGATTTGTTCTGTGAAGTTTGGATTCAGTTGAGGAGCTGCACTTGGGAGATTGTTCTCAGGGCTGTCTATAAACAGCATTCCCACAGGCAGTAAGGTTGAAAAATGAAAGAAAACAAGTACTCAGAACCTGTCAAATTCTATAAAGTGCTCAATCCTGGTTGCTTCTATAGGAGGTAAAGAAAGTTATTCATAGGGGTCTAGATACCTTGGCTTTCTATCACCTATATGGATATTTTCTAACGGCAACACATGCAAATGAAATTGTCTGATAGCTCTCGGGGTTGGGGGTGGGGGATCCTGCCTTACTCTCTGCGGGAGGATTTGCTCCTTCTGGCCACATCTGGGATTCTGTCTTCATGGCCTGGAGCATGAATGTGCTGCCCCCTCCTACCAAACCTCCCTGAATGGCCACATTGAGGGGTCTCTCTCCATTTGTTCTGTTTGTTTCCTCCTTAGGATGATGGAGATAGCAAAAGCCATGAGGCTGAAGATCTCTAAAAAAAGGGTGTCTCTGGTTGCCGGTGGGGAAGAGGATCACAAACTGGGCACTCTGTCCATCCCGCTGCCTGCAGCACAGACATTGGACCGCCAGTCAAAGCGGAGAAGAATTACCTAGATGTATGCTTTTCAGACAGCATTTTGACCACATCATAGCCACTGGTTCTGTTTATTTTTATTTTTAAAAAGGAAAGAAAAAAAGAAGCCTTGCTTTGGCACAGGTATGAAGCCAGAAGCCAGCATCCCAGTCATGGCTGTCTTACACAGAAATAGAAAGTGACAGCCAAGTTGGACTTCATCTCCCTTCTTTAGTGTTGCAGTGATTATAAATGGCAAATGCTTCTCATGTTGGTTCACATGTGTGGGGATTTGGGAGGGTGGGGCCTGGGGAAGTTGGAGACAACAAATCTCACCAGGCTGAACCCTGAGTCAAATCTGATGGATGATGGTTTACAAAGAGAAATTTGAAGTGCTGTGCTTGGTTCTACAATGGCCAGGGGACTGCGTGGTGAGGAGAGGGATCTCACCCAGCAGGGCTGGAAAAGGTGGCTTCAGCCTTTATCAGTAGCTGACTATGGGTCACCAGTGTGATGGGGTTGCCACAACAGGCTGACTTACAGCCTGTGGTGATAATGTGGAGCCAAGTCAAAGGCAGGAAGTGATGACCCCACTCTCTCTGCCTGGCTGAGAGGTCACATAGAGGGCAGGGGTCAGCTTGGAAAGCCATACTTTGAGGAGGTTGCATCATTCAGGGTTCAGTACAAAAAACAGTTGCTCTAGGTATCTTAAGAAGAAAGGAGTTTAATATATGGATAAAATGCTATCAAATTGTTAGCAGGGCCAGAGGACTGGGAATTAGGAGGTTGCCTCTGGAACTGCTGAATTCAAGAGCACACTGCTGGGGTTGCCATTGGAGTCAAGAAGCCACTTCTGCCCTATAGCTGCTGCTTAAATTCGTGAAGCTGGAGACTTGACTCTGAAATGCTGAGTTCAGCCACCAATGCCTCCAGTACCTACGTGCCCACCCCCTTGCTTGTTAGCACAGGCAGCCAAAAGATCAGGAGGCTGGCCTCATTGTTTCCTTCTGTATAAGAGCCTGGTTTGCATCTAGAATTCTAGCAGCAAGGGAGTCTTGGAAATAAGTTTCAGCTGTCCAGCCTCTAGTTACAGGAGATGAATGGATGTACCTGCCACTGGGGAGAGAGAATGGCCTGTATCCACGTGGGTGCTATAAAGACAGGAAGGTGACAGGAAGGCTTAGGTACATGGCCCAGGCTCTGTCTCTGATCTCCAGGGCTCTTTGGAGGCAGTGGGGACAGTTGTGATCTGTGGTGCCCTGTGTCTGAGAGGCTGGATCAGTGAAGGGAGACAACCCAGCTCCCTGAAAAATGAGTGGAGGAAGTTTACACACAGCTGAGCTGTGTGTTAGAGTCACAGGGGAAATGAGTCGTGAATGAGCTTTGGGACAGGTGGTTTATTGTCTTTGAGCTCTGGGATGTTGTTACCAGAGCCACTTCTGTGGCAAGACTGCCTCAGATGTGTTTTTGCCATGCTTCTCTCTTGTGTCTCCATTGATTTCTGACCTGGGTAGGGGACATGTGAAGCTTATTGTCTCCCTCCAGCTGAGGTGTGAGCAGAAAATCTACATGCCTCTTGTTTTTCTTTAAGCTATTGTGAAAATCAGATATGTGACTCCACATCGGGGAAAAACTATTAATACCTTTCTGTGAGAAAAGGACTCCTAAATGTGCTTGTAGGTTAGACTGTTTGCATGACTACTTTTTAGATTCTGAAGACTTTGATACGTTGAGGCTTAATTTCTGGGACTGTTTGGCCCACAGCATTTGGGCCCCTCTGAACAACCTCTGTCCTAATGGGGACCTCTGTCCTGGCCTGTCTTCAGTCACCTGTGCACAGACTGCTAACATCGAGAGGGAAAGTCTAGGATGGCAGATAAATGTTTGTCCTGGGTGACAGCAGGTGTGTCTCACTAAAAGGCAGAGGATACATTCCCAGAGGTTGACTGAAAGCAAATTTCTATACTGAGGTCTCTGAAAGGCTGAAATGAGTTTGAAATAAGTTTGGAAGGCTCAAAAGAGGGTGCTTGTTCAGCCCTGACATATTAAGTGGGCATTGTCTGTTGAATGAGTCATAGTACATGAAGTGTGCTTTCCTTTCTTGGCAAGGTTATTAGGCAGTAAACACTTGTAGAATAATGGAATTGTATTAGGTTTCTTCTAGCTCTAGACACCCATTTGTTTACTAACACATTCACAGAGGATACCTTGATTGATAGGTTATTTGCCAGAATGTCTCCCAGTGTCCTCATTGAAAGGGATCTATGAACTAGCTGCTGGTGATTCATAGTTTAAAGAACTCCTGTATATTCTTTACCTCAATTCTCCAACTGTTAATACTTTGTCCCGTTTATTATTTGCTTTATACATTGTTAGATTTCTCTTTACACCATTTGAGAAGAACATCCTACCCTTTTATCCGTAAATGCTTCAATGTGTATAGCCTAAGAATAGGGCTTTCTCTTCCATAACCATAGTCCATGTTTCTCTAATACAGAAAAAGCAACAGCAAGACAGTACTATTATCTAGCCCACAGTTCATGTTCAAGTTTTGCCGATCATTGTGCCTCTTTGGTCTGGTTTAACCTGAGACTGTTCCTCAGCCTTTGGCTTTCTTGGCCTTGACATTTTGAAGAGTGGGGTAGGTTATTTTGTAGTGTTGTCCCTCTATGTGGGCTTATCTGCAGAGAAGGCGGTGCTGGGCCTGCATTTGGCCACCTGGGAACTCCAGTGTATGCCCAGACCAAGGAAAGGCCTGCCAAAAGTGCCTCTTTTAAAATATATAGAACTTTATTTTGGTTATTGAGATTTTCATCAGTACTTAATTCACAGAAAAGTCATTTCTTAAAAAATAATAAAGGCAGCATTTTGTACAGCAACTGACATTGGGGCCACCAAACAGAAGTGCAAAGGACAGTGTGAGGGATAGAAGGAGCAGCACTCTTGTGCCCACGGTCCTTAAGGGGAGGCCAGTGCTCCTGGCTCCCTCTCCCCCTCCCATTCTGCCCAACAGAGCAGCACCTAGGGCCTCATAGAACCAGCCCGGAAAGTCATCGGCCACGTGCATGACAGCAACTCCAACGGGCTGGTAAAGGCCCCACATGGAAGGCTGAGTGGGAGGGGACCGTTCAGGCGAAGCTGGCCCTGCATCCAGCCCCCTTCCTTGAGCAGCAGCCTGAGCCTGCCTGGCTCTGGGACCTTGACACATTCACAGTACAGTTCAGTAAAGTCCTTTGGGAGCTGGCTTTGCTTTCTCCACTCAGGCCATTTATCCCTATCCCAGCCCAGGGTTGGGATTTGGGGACACATAGTTGTGGCCCTACCTTCAGGGAGCTCAAGAGGCAAGTGGGTGGGACAAGTTATGGATCTGGATGGCTCCAAAACAAGGCAGAAAGTGCTCAGTACCCTGAGAGGGAGCAGAAAAGGGGCTGCTGGGACTCTGAGGAGGACAGAAGGCAGAAGAACTGTGTGGGGACAGCAGTGTCTGAGCTAAACCTTGAGGAACCAGCGGGGCCCAGACACGTGGAGATGGCAGAAAAGGCATGCTGGAAGGAGGAGAGACCAGGAGCCAAGGCACAGAGTAGGGAGACACGGCAGGGTCAGTAAAGGCCGGTGCCCATCCGCGAGAACATGGATATGTACCAGGGGCCCAGGCACCCCTATCTCCACAGGCAGGTGCCCAGGAGGGGCAGCTGGCATGGGTGTGCTCATGTGGGATTTGAATGCTCCTTGGTAGGCAGCGAGCTAACGTCCTCCTGAGTTTGGGAGCTCCTTGAGGACAGAGTGGAGCCCTGTATGTCCCTGCCCAGCCCAGCACCTATCTGCAATGCCTGAGTTGCCTAAAGGGAGCCTTCTGCCACCTGCCCCTCCAGTTTCCAGCATGTCCCCGTCATCCCTGAGGCAGCCTTTCAAGAGGGGCTCCTGTTCCAAGCCCCTTCCCTCCCTCATAGGTCCATGTCCAAGTCTAAGACAGCTGCGGCCTTAAGTAAACCCAACTCAATTCCTTTAGCCTCCAGAGGCAGCTGGGAGGGTGTGGTGGGTCCCTGCACGGATTGAAAGGGACAGGTCTGGGAAAGGGGAACATTTTGGGACAGTTATCTCTTTCCACCTCACTAGAGTCACTTCCCTCTGTCAGGAGTAAATCTGCTCTTCCCTGAGCAGAGTCTAGGTTTGGTGTGTGTCAAACATGGTACCCTGTAATGCAAAGAAAAATCTGACCAAAAAGCTTCACATATGATTTGAGTTTCCCCAAGTCTTTGCAATCCCTATAGGTGCTTGAGTAATTGGAAACCCACCAACTTCTATCTCTTTTTCTCCTTGAAAAACATTTCCAAGTTCTTTCCTGCTGAAGTGGAGGCTGATGTGATTTGGAGGTTTCTAGTCCCAGGAGGCCTGGGACCTGTTTTATCAAGGGAGTAGTTAGAGGAGGGAAAGGCCAGAGGTTTCTCAGGCACTATTTTTGTCATGGGTCTTCTGAGCACCTGTCAGGGCCTGGGCCTGAGGCAGGTCTCCGTCCTCAGAGGATGGTGCAGAAGATGCTGCGGTTGCTGTGGTAACCACCTTCCACACGGGCTGTGATCCTGGTTGCCATAGCTGTCACCTTCTGCCCATTGTGGGCTGCAGAGGGGCCTCTGAGAGAGTTTTCAAGGTGAGGCCGTGCTGGCGGGTTCACCAAGCGCCATGTATCAGACCTAGAGGTGCAAAATGAAAGTTAGTGAACTCTTTGAGGTCTACAGCATTTGCTGACTACCTTACACAATCTTGCCTTTGACTCCAGATCAATGGATCCAGGTATTTAAATCTGGGTGTAGGTTTCATCTCCCAAGTTAGTGTTAACCCACATAGGTGGGATGTGTGAAACTAAAGGGCAGAAGTCCTACATTTCAAGTCTAGTTCTGCCTTGAATTCTGCATGTAACCTTAGACAAGCTCCCTCTATGGGGCATAATTTCCCCATCTTTAAATAAAGATCTGGATAAGGTCAGTGTTTCTTTCTTTCTTTTTTGAGACAGACTCTCGCCCTGTTGTCCAGACTGGAGTATAGTGGCATGATCATAGCTCACTGTAGCTTCTAACTCCTGGGCTTAAGTGATCCTCCTGCCTCAGCCTCCTGAGTAGCTGGGACTACAAGTGTGCACCACAACGCCCAGCTAATTTAAAACAATTTTTTTGTAAAGACAGGGTGTTACTATATTGCCCTAAAGCAATCCTCCCTTCTCAGCCTCCCAAAGTGCTGGGATCACAGGTGTAAGTCATTGCACCTGG